TCTCCCTGCTCTTCACTGACCCCTGATGAATGCAGGCCCGTCTGTTTGCTCGCTCCACTGGCGAGCTCAGCCCTGAGGCCTTCGCCCAGGCGACCACTGCAGGCCTCGTCCGAACCTTTGCAGCTGCTCCCCAACACCGATTCGATGGCGGAGGTGCTGAGCCCGAAGTCGAAGGCAGACAATCTGCCTTGTGGGCACATCGGATAGGTGTCAACGCTCTGGCCCTTGACAAGTTCGATGGTCGGCTGTGAGACACATGAAAGACACCTTACCTTAGTCCTCGAGCACTAACACACGCCATAGACTGATCTCTGGAGGCGCTGATGGCTCCGTGAAGCTTTGGGATCTGGAACATGCTCCTAATCCAAACTCTTCCTACACCTTTGAGCCCATTGCCAATGCTTCTCGCTCCGTCGGCGACAATGGATTTGCTCACAAGAATGGCGTTACCCACCTCGACTTCTTCCCCTTCGACTCGGACGCCTTCCTTTCAAGCTCTTTTGACCGCACGCTGAAGCTATGGTCTACCGAAAGGATGGTAGTTTCTGCCAACTTCGATCTGAACGCCGACATCTACACTCATGCGACCAGTCCTATTGCCGATCATCTCCTCGTCGCCTGTGCCACGCAGCATTCATCCGTTCGCCTTGTCGACCTCAAGTCCGGGTCCTCGGTCCAGTCCCTCGTCTCCCAGGGCGGCGCTGTGCTATCTGTAGCCTGGAGTCCTCGCCATGAACATGTCGTTGCCACCGGCCATTTCGATGGAAAGGTCCGCCTGTGGGACATCAGGCGCGCTTCCGGCCTCATTGGCCAGCTCGACCAGGAGGATCACCTGGGTGTCGTCCACCGTTTCAACCACGCCAAGGCCTGCGGCATGGATTGGAACCAGATGCCGCACTTTCGCAGCGCGGCCCAGGCCCACAACGAAGGTGTCAACGCACTTACATGGTCTGACGACGGCAAGTACATCATCTCTGCTGGCCTTGACCGTCGCATACGCGTCTGGGATGCTGCCACGGGGGCGAACACGCTGGCGGCATTCGGCTCTATGATTCAGAATCGACAACCAAAGACGGTCAGCATGTTTGTCACTCCGGCCAGGCTCACACCAATTCGTCGAGATCTTCTCTTCTGGCCGAACGAGAACGAGATCCTGGTCATGGATCTGCATGAGGGCACTTTGGTATCTCGCCTACGCGTTCCAGGGCCATCCACAGCAGCAGGCGCTCAGGGCATTGGAGGTATCAACGTCCAAAACCGCACCATGGATATTGTATGGCGCGGAAACGCAGGATACAGACTTCAAAAGGGGCCAATCATGGGCGGAGGAAGCTCATGCGGTGCAGTGTACACCGCCCACCTAGACGGCCAGATTCGAGCATGGATGCCGCGACTGCCAGGGCCAGACAGAGACGACGATACCTTGGATCCTATCGACAAGGATGAAGAGGAGAAAGGCCGTAAACGAAAGGCTCTCGACGATGCTTTTAGGAGCTTGATGGGGAAGCAAATCACGTTCAGATGACGCGTTAATTTGCCCACCCAGATCTCATACAGAATTCATTGATACTGGAAATATCTCAGGGCGTTTGGCGTGTCATATCCATAATTAGCTATATTGACTTGGTGCCAATCCGTGCCTGTGATGTGACTACACTTCTCGACATTCATGCCAAGTTCAGCTACGTAACGTTGCAAAGATCGGATGCCTCACGAAACTCACAAGCTTGCCCCTGCATGTCAACATTTCCTCCGCATCATCGACACAGTAGCATTGAAAGCCATGACTTACAGAGATCTCCAACATGGACATCCGAGCAAAAGACATCCCCCGCGGAAAAGCATAGCGCGCACATCCCAAAGGTAGCATTCTGAATCTAGCATCGCAGCTCAGCTCTGGCATATCAAAACCACTGGGCCTGTCCCTGAGGCAAAACCCGTCGCGGCCACGTCCAAGAACACCACTCCCAAGACCAGTAATCGCCGAACTTCAACATGCCGAACTCACCAGAAATACCACCCCTCACGGCGCCCGTCGGCCCCATTAGCAACAAGAACCCATCAATCCCGCCCCGATCATCACCGCTCAGACACTCGCACATCGAACATTGATAACCCACCTGTGCTTCTCCATGTCGGCGCCGTTACATCGGCCCTCTGCCGAATCCCCTCGAGGGCAGGGCTAGAACGGGGTCTCTGCATCCCATCTCTGCTCGGCCCAATGTGCTGCTCGACGTCCGCCCGGCTGCTGTAAGTCCCGGGGCTGGCAGGGTTTGTGTCCGCGTCCCCGCCCCTGTTGCCGTCCTCCACCCCCACCCACCGGGCGCACCGGAACCGCTTCCCCGCCGACCTTTTCTGACCTCCTGCATTAGCTCCCGCGCCGTCCCAGCATCATGGTCCTTGTTACTGACAGAGGCGCGCCTCTTCGCGAAGGAGGGTGCGACGCACGCACGCCTCACCCCAAATCAGCCCTGTAACCACGCTCCCTCCTCTTCCATCGACTGACGCGCCACTGTGTGCATCGAGATGGGCAAATTAGCCATAAAGCAGGGGGTGTCGGACGCGGAACCGGCGGTAGATCCAGAGCACACCACCTCGCTCGGATCGGACCTGGGGTTGGAAAATACGGGGTTGCCATCGACCAAGATCAGACGTCACAAAAGAGGAAACCCGATGAAATCGCCCAACGAAAGAAGCCCGGGTGTCTCTCCAACGCACGGCTGGGGGGCAAATGGATTGCCAAACGACGTCGAGATGACAATAGACACTAGCTAGTTCGCACCGCGAACTGTCTGAATCCGCGAGACTACATTAGCGGCAGCGTAGCGTGGATATCCTGCCATGAACGCTCAGACGTCTTCACAGCGGTCGTCGAAAATGGGATGGAAAACCAGGGCTGACGCGCGCTGCGCGTTCCCCCATCTTTTCGACCGGTCGCAAAGCTTAGCACATAGTCTGCCCCCTTCGTTTTCGTTCCGGCGTCCTCAACGAACATGTAAGTGAGACTAGCAGTCGAAGAGCTCGTCGAATAAAACCATCCCGCCAGCGTTGGTGCCGCGACGTTCCTGGCCGGACTTACATGCGACTCACACGTTTTCCGTCCTGATTCCTCAGCGGCACGGACCTAAGACATGCCGGGGGGGCTAAAAGTAATGATGGACATCTTCAGCCCACACACACCTCATGCCCCCGCAATATCGCCAGCCCTGCGCTGCAAGCCTCTCCCACCTCCCACACGCGTGGCAACATCGTGCCGTCCGCCGCCTCTCGCGCGCCACCACGGAACCGCGGCTAACCGGTTCGTCCGGGCGACGGACGATGATGCAGGGGTAGCCCAAAGCAGACGAGGGGCGGGCGCATGAGCTCTTCATCACGGGGGCACGAGAAGGCTGAACGCGCGATGTTCCCACGCCAAAGGTGGATGATCGTCGACGGCGCCGAACATCATTTTCCTTCGGACGGCGCCACGCCCACTTCCCTTGGCAATGACACGCCAGGCACCGTACAGGTTTAGGGCGTGTTGGAGAGTGAGGCAATAGATCTGCCATATGGTTCTAGACTCCGAGCACCTGTCGTCATTCTCCTTTGGATCTGCTCTACTCGTCAGGGGTTGTAAAGAGAGAGAGAGTGTGTGTGTGTGAGGTGCGCGTCGTGGTGGTGGTTCGGAAGTGTGCCGTGGTTGCATCCATCCAGAGACGGGAAGAAGTTTATGTGTCTAAGTGGAGGCTGAAGTGTTGGATAATCCGTCTCGCGGACTGCAGGTAAGCAAAAGCGGAAAACGCTCTAGACGTCGCGATTTGGCTTGGCTTGCGAGATTGCGCGCGCGGGCTGAGAAACTATTGTCGACGATGCCTTCAGCGTTAATGCACTGATATGGGGGTTAGGGGGTGGCGAGGCGGGCAGATTATGTTGGGTTTTTGGAATTACCGTGGGCAGCCGCGGTTGCCGTTGTTGGGCAGTCATCGATCGATCTGGGGCTAGGGGACTCCGGAAGACGGAGGTTGACGGGGCTCGGCGCCGGGTCGTAGGGGCCGATGAATCCACTTCTCACCGGGTTTCGGCGCCGAAGTTGATGTTCTACCGTTCCCGTCTCCGGCGTTGAGACCGGAAGCGACATATTCCGCTGTTATCTTCAGGGCAAAGTCGCAACAGCCTGATAGAACGCACATGCGCCGTTTCGGATGGGATTGTCGCATTGGATTGCAGACCAAGTAAGGGCGTGTACCTCTGGGAGATGCGAAATAGCCTCGAGCGATATCGCCAGATCGACATGAGCTTTTGCTCGGCAGGAACCAGCTGGCTGATTCAATTCTGGGATAACACTATTGTGACTACTTGTCACATTTGTAGACGTAAGCCAAACTCATACAAACTAGGCAAGATCATTTCAAATACTTATTACAGGATGTTGGATCCGAGACTCATCGTTGTGAATACCAGGTTTGAAGGGAGTGATCCGTACTATTGAAATCCCCTGGAATCATCGCGAGGAGGAGCACACGTTGACGAAAACAATTATATGACTATGACGGTGATGATGGACGCCCTGAAAAGAGAAGGCTAGGCTGGCGTATGGTATTGATTATAGCACTGGTTCTCATGGCCGGGCTCTACTTTATTCCATCCATTTACGGCATGGCGTCATGAAGACCAATAAAGCTCAGTTCCCGTGACTCTCAAACTCGACGATATTCGGACTCTCTCATTTGATTCGAAATATGTCCTCGTATCCGTTGCTCTGTGAGTGAGCTGCAGCGCAAGAGATCGGGGAAAACCTCCGGTTTATCTTCCAAATCTAGCCGGCAACAAGACTCACTATTGGTTAAAAAAGGCCAATAGAAACCCCAGGGTGATCGAGATCAGGCTGTGCCCTTTGCTATCATGTCTAGGCTAGGCGAGCATGCATCTGGCCAATTACCCCGCTCTGACAAGCATCGTAAGCCTCCACGACCCTCCAACCTCCAACGTGAACTTGCGCATATCGAAGGCCAGCAACTACCATGGAAATAGCTCCAAAGTCTTCTTCCACTACAGCGCAGGTCACACCTACGAAAGGTCTACAAGATGCAGTCAGCGAGTTCAGGAAGATCTTGAACAATGACCAACGTTCAGACCTCGACAACCTCAAAGGTATCCCTGATGCTGACGCCGCGCTCGTCTTAACAGCCCAGTTAGACTGGTCCACCACTCAGCGCAACTCTCCCAGCAAGGGCACCCGACTTATATCAGTCCTGCAATATGTCCGCGACTCTTCCGTTATCATAGACACTTTTGTCTCCTCGCACCCGGAGATTGCTGCGCTAGTCTGGGGGAGCGTGAAGCTGACGATGCAGGTACAGCAAGATCTTTACTACTACATACAAGAGACAATTTAACTTCGGTTAGGTGGTGCTAAACTTCGCTTCGTACTATGAACGAGTCTCAGACCTCTTTATGCAATTTTCTAAAGACTGCCCCCGATTTGCCGAGTACCAAGCCTTGTTTCCGAACTCGCCTGGGTTGCAGAAGGCTGTCTGCGATTTCAACGCATCAATCATCTATTGCTGCAAGCATGTGGTCGAAGCGTTACAACGACCTTGTAAGTAAAAACCCCTAGTCTCTAGTACGTTAACTAAATACCACTCATGCGATACAGGGCAAACACATCTGCGAAACGCGTTCTTGCAGTCGTTTCAGCAGGAGCTTAACCCTGACCTGGAAATGATTCGAAAGCGTGGTCTTGAGGCAAAGCAAGAAATCAAACTTGCAAAAGCGAGGGCCGACCACCAGGACCAAAGACTCCAGGAAATGGAGAGGAAAGCAGCATCCAAAGAGAGGCATAAGGTCAGGCAGTTGTTCTCGCGAGTAGGAAGCGACCTCGACACAATTAAGAATGACCAGATTCAGCAAGACATCCGTCGGGCGGGTAAGTCGCTCTTCATAGCTGCAAATAATGCTGAAAAATAGGCTGACAGACTTGTAGAGCAAAGCCGTCGTCAGCTTCTCGACTCACTCTCGTCTTACGACTACCTCTCACACTTCAAGAAAGCCTGCAAACTGAGGCACCCTAAAACTGCAGAATGGCTTTTCCGATCAACTTCTTTTACTCAATGGGAGGAAGGACTTTCTTCACCATGGCTGTGGTGTTCAGGCAAAAGTACGTCATATGAAGAGTTACTTCAACCGTACTAATTCAAAATAGTTGGATCTGGCAAGACAGTCCTCACGTAAGTAAACTCTTAATTGGAAAGCCCTCTAACTATGGCAGCTATTGACTCTACTTCAAGTGCAAGTGCCGTCGAACATATTTATGCGCACGAGCGTAGGGCCAGAGAAAATGTCACATTCTTCTTCCCTCATTTTGCAGATCAGACACCGCTATCTGCAGAGACTACACTTCGGTCGATTATCCGACAGTCACTCGACCCAGTGAGACTGTCTAGCGATTGGGAAGCACGCCTAATAGAGCTGGATCGGAAACCCTCCTCAGAGCTGGGCGGATTAACATCACTTCTTCGACAAGCAATCGACCAGTCTAATACATTCTATATCTTTATCGACGCACTAGATGAGTTTGAGCCGGCAGAACGACGAACGCTCCTTGACTCTCTGATCTCAGTTGCCTCCGAATCGCGCCTAAGAGTCTTCGTTTCGAGCCGTGAAAGCTTGTCAGGCGAACTTAGATACCGGATACCAACCATTGAGACAGTTTTGATGGCATCTCCGGAGGCCAAGATCGACATTGCTACTTTTGTTCAAGAGACACTCCAAAGAAGACAACAAAACGGAGATCTTATTGTTCAAGACCAATCTATTGTTGATGATATCAGGCAGGCTCTTATTAATCGTGCGGACGGAATGTAAGTTGATAATGACTGTACTATACGCTACTTACTGACGGATGAGGTTTCTCTGGGTTACTTTCCTATTAGATGAAATCTGTGCCCAAACCTGTGACGACGATATAAGAGACGCCGTGGAACGTCTTCCAAAGACCTTGACTGAAACGCTGAGCAGAGCCCTTCAGCGCATCATTAAGCAGGGCAAATCTGCAGTCGCCAAAAAAGCCTTCCAATGGATTGCTATAGCGAAACGCCCTTTGACACTAGATGAGCTCCGTGAAGCCATCTCTACAAAAGTCGGCCAACCATCCTTCAATCCCGGACAACTAGTCAATGGTATGGACCGTCTACCTATGTGGTGCGAAAATCTCGTCCGAGTTGACGAAGAATCGAGAACTGCAGAGTTTGCCCATAAGGCAGTTCACAAGTTCATCGTCGAAGGATCATCAGGACCTGACTACGCAGAGTTTCATTTCAAGCTGGAGGATGCGGATCATCATGCTGGTGAAATCTGCGTCACCTACCTGAGCTTTAGCGACTTTGTGACAACTATTACGCGACGGTCGCAACCAGTCAAAATCGACCCAACTAGTATGGCCCATTCAGCATTGAAGAACTCATGGAACCTGCCCAAGTCGATCAGTAGCGCCGTTATTACAATGCGCAAGGGTGTCCAAGCTGAGACTGACCCGGCTAGAATACGGGCTACATACAACAGGTCGGACGATGCAGAAGCTATAAACACGCTACAAGTCCATCATCCTTTTATCAAGTACGCGTCAGTACACTGGATTTCCCATACCACTCGATTCAGGCATCGTACGTCCTCGACATGGGAAATGTGGCAAGAGATTTTCACTCAAAAACATGGTCTGGCAAAGATACCTTGGTTGAACCAAGATGAGTCGGGAGCTTTAGACACCAATATCTTGCCTTGGAGTCTCACAAACCGCCATTTTGCTCTTGTCCGATACCTTGGAGGCAAGATCGGTGTTTCAGAGATACGGGGGGCCTTAAAAAGCTGTGTGGCTGATGGTGATGTTGACTTTGACTTGGCGAGCGCTCTACTTGAGAGTAGTCATGCAGTTAGGATCGCCTCGTCAGATCTACAGGCAGTTTCAGGTGGTGGCGACATCGAAGTCGTGAAGCTATGGCTTTCTGCTGCGAGAGCCAACGTCAACGCTGACCTTGCTATATTTGAACTGAATCCCTTAGAAGCAGCATCAAAAGGTGGTCACGCAAATGTCGTGGAGTTATTGCTTTCTGCGGGGGCTAATGTTAACGCCCGCTATTTTTCTAGTGAACGGACTGCTTTACAAGCAGCTTCAGAGGGCGGTCACATCGAAGTTGTAGAGCGGTTACTTTCTGCGGGGGCTGACGTTAACGCGGACGCTTCTAAACGTGGAGAGACTGCTTTACACTTAGCTTCAGGGCGTGGTTATATTGATATTGTGGAGCGGTTACTTTCTGCGGGGGCCAGCGTCAAAACTTACAGCATGTTTGCGCAGAGTGCTCTGCAAGCAGCTTCCAGGTCTGGTCACATCGAGGTTGTGGAGCGACTGAGAGCTGCAGGAGCCCGCGAATAATTGTTCTTATTTGTCAAAGGACGCGCGTCTCGTTCGTCCTCAGAGTTGCAAAGGATGGCAGTGTGTTCAAATCAACTATGGCGGCCATAAAGACAGTAGCTATTGCAAGTCAGAACGCTGGGTCCAAGTGTTCGACAGAGTTGAGTCTCTGTTGCTTACCTCCGAATATCTCGTAGACCGTCACGAGAGTTCTCAGTCCATTCTCACACAGATCGAAGCGGGAATTGTGAGATGGACCACGAGCAATAACGCAACCCGTTGATACTGAGAACAGATGTCAGGTCTAGCAATCTGTTGCTCATCTGTAGCAAGGCCGTCCTGAACCCGAGGAATACTCGCCAGCCGGTAGTGACGGATAGATAGAGTTCAACCGAGCCCTATGCTGAGACTTGTACTGCGAATATCGAGAGATACGGTGCTTTCAGTGCTTGACAATGATCAATGAAAACCCGGTAACCACGCAGAGTTCGTTCATGAAATGGATGCCAAAACCTTTCATTGTGGACCTAGCAGAAATAAGAGTCCGAACCCTTATTTACCTTGAATGTTACCATTGTACTTTGGGTTATCTGGCAATGGCACCTATGTCTTTGCGTAAGTTCGAACGTGGCCAGACTAACTGGAAGAGAATTTGCACAACGTTTACCATTGGGCAAGGGGCTTAACTTCTGGGTGGTTGGCACTTGGGCTGACACGCATCGCTCCAGACTGTCCAGTTGGAAATGAGTCGTGAAGCATAAATAGCTGAACCACCGAGTCAAAGGACTCTCCCAACAGCAAATGGGGAGGGGGCATCTGTGGCCTCGTCATCTCTACGACGGCGACGATATGCGCCGTACTCGAAGCTAACAGCATCGCAAAGAACAAGTGGACAGGCGTATCAAACCATGCCAAATTGACGCGGCCCTAAGTATACTCTCTAATAATCGGTCCCCAAAGGTGAAGGACGTCGATAGGTTAGCGACTGGATGTTACAGTCTTCATATCTACTCACCAAAGTACCCTGTCAACTGCCTAAAGGTTGTTCGCAACACATTAGCTCACTTTCGCAACGCCTGAGGCCCGCCTACATTGGCAATCGAATCATGCACTGTGAACTAATTGTTTATTTCATTGAGAACAACTATTCGACTCATGATTTATAGACATGAAGAGAGTGGAAATCCCAGCTAGCTAGTCCTTGAGTACTTGCCATTGCTGTAGCTGCCTCATAGAATTTGACGACGTATATAATGTTTGCAAGGACCCTTGTTTCCATTCTTCAAACAAATGTAGTCACGGACACGTCGTGGTTGATTATTCTTCCACACTATAGAGGGTTCTGCTCGACACCGGCACATGCGCCCATCTATGTCTTCACAACCATGACCAGAAGGTGATCAGACAACATATGAGTATTCTTGAATACGCAGGATATAAAACCGGCGGAAAGAAACAACAAGCTCAGAAATCAAAATCAGAATGAAGCATGTACGCCACGTTGGCAGTATTTCTACTCCCATACGTCATCCATGGATCTGAATGCGCCAGCGTCTGCCCATCAGATTGCTGCTTCTCGGAGATACGGAGAAATTATACCACAACTTTCAGTCCAATAACACAAAAACATCTTTTTTTCTTGCAGCATGATTAATACCTGGGTATTATCTCAAATAGTCCACGAGGACACCGTCTCAGCATCCCTTATCCCGTCTAAATCGTCTTCCCAAATGTGTTCCTTTCCCCATTACTTTCTCTTCCATCTCATCAACCAAAATCATTACCCAAACATATCAAACTCTTAAAACCCGTCATTAACCCCAATAGCCCTCTCCGACGCCTTGCGATCATTGTTAAAATCGACCCACCACCGATGACTCTCCTCCTTCCCGGTCCAGTTGCCCTCCGCATCCACCTCGTCCCACGGCTTCGGCGCCAGGATGTAATGCACATTCTTCACCTCCGCATCCCGCCAGATCTCGTCGTGCACGCCCTCCCACCGCAGCGTCTTGAGCGCGTTGTACACGTACGGCAGCGGCACCCACCGCCCGCGGTACAGCTCCGACAGCAGGCTCTGGTCCGCAAAGTCCATGTCCATCGCCCCCTGCTCCATGTGCTGCACGATCTGCCGGAAGAGCCGCTTCGACGGGTTGACCACCTGCAGCCCGCCGTTCATGAAGCCCAGCGGGCTCGCCGTCACGGGGTCCGGGCCGACGCGCTGCGCCTCGTCGGGCGAGGAGTGCTGCGTCGTGAAGGCGCAGTTCTCCGGCGTCCAGTCCTTGGGGTAGTGCGGCTTCTTGAGCGGGTTGCAGACGCACGCGTGGCCGGCGGCGAAGACGCGCACGCTGGGGTTGCGCTTGCCGGTGCCGGCGGCGGCAGCAAGCTCGCTGCCGTTGCCGTCCTCGCCGGAGCCGTAGCCGCTCTCGGCGTCGACGCGCTTCGAGGCGCCGATGAGCTCGGCCGGGGTGTGTTCGGCGGCAAAGTCGCCGTCGTCGAGCTCGAGCTCCATGAGCTCGTCCATGTTGCGCAGCACGAGCATGTCGCTGTCGAGCTGGACGACGCGGGCGTACTGGTCGAGGCTGAAGGGGGTGAGCTTGCTCCAGCAGTCGTAGAAGCGCGGGTCGTTGGAGTAGTCGCGCCCGGCGGTCGGGAGGAGGTACTCGATGCGCTGGGCGGGGATGCCGCGGCGCTCGAGGGCGGCGAGGCCCTCGGCCGGAAAGGTGTCTGTGTAGAGCGCGACGAGGGGGTACGCGGAGCCGGACTTGAGGAGGGAGTGGTGGAGGGTGAGGAGGCCGGAGAGGTAGTCTAGGTTGGTGATGAGGGTCGTCCAGACTAGGTATGCTTGTTAGCTTTTGAGGGGATCGATGATGAGAGAAGTATGCTCTGTGTTGTTGCGGATAGCTTCTTTTGAGGTTGGGGGTTGTTCGTTATGAATTTAGTTGTGTGAGGGATGAGAGTGAGAGTGAGAGACGAACCCTTGTCCGAGTCAACGGCGCGCTTTCCGTCCGACATGTTTGCGGTCGTGGTGATGGTAAGGAGGAGCACGTCTTGAAGATGCGATCTTGGCCTCGGAGCTTCAGCTTCAGCTTCAGAGCTCGGTTTGCGACAGCTTGCGACTCTGCGATGCGCGCGCGACACGGCGGGGCAGGTTCCGATGGTGGAGGCGGGGTTACCAAAAGAGCAGGTGATGACGAGATCGATAACAACGGGACCGTCTGCGCACGCCGGGAGATAGTAACACACACACACACGACCAAATTCCTTCTCACGAGATGCGGCCTGATGAACAAGAATGTGTAAAGATGCAAGAAGGAAGTCAAGGTCAAGGGGGGAGGGACGATGAAAGGTAGGTAAGGCAAGGTAAGGTAAGAAACGACCAGATCCGGAAAACTTTAAGGCCGGGGAATGGGGAAATCAGCATTCGACGAAAATGGGGAATTACACAGTAAGTAGCACACGAGAAAGATGAGAAATGCGACACGAGTCGTAGCGTCAACTAAACCCCATCCGATCCCAAAAGTAACTTAGGTCCTCTCCCCTCCCTCCCTCCCTACCACTCTGTAAAGAGACCCTCAAAGGGCGCGCGGTACGGTTACGGGAATTTTTGCTCCCTCCAGCTACTAGGTAAGGGTCCGCGCGGGTTGCGCGTAGCTTTGGGGCTGTCCCGTCTTCAGGTAAGAGAAACCAAAAAAAAAGGCTGATAACCAGCGAGAGATTCCGATCGGCCGGAACGCCGATGACGCCATCATATTTGCTACATCGGACTTTTTGGGAGGGGAGCACCAGGAGCTGTGGCCAGCCGGCGGCGCTGCAAATGGAGAAAATGCGAAAGCAGCAAAGGCGCATTTGCGACAGCGGGCCGGCGGGGAGGGACAGCGGACAGGAACGGGGACGATGGGTAGGGGGGGCTGGGGTTTGGGTGTCCATCCGTACAAGTAAATAAGTCAGTGTATCTGTCTCCCCGCCGACGGGATATCTCTACGGATAAGGACTCAAGACACTTTGTGGAATGAGAGATTACCAGAGTTGCCATTTGTCAAAGCCCGCCCGCCTACGCCCCGTTAACCTCCTTCTGTACACGGCATAGAGAGCGTTCACCAAGATGGAACCACCACCAGGGCAAAGAGTCATAGGAACGCAACCCCGAGCTGACACCGTGACGGTCGCGACGGTCGTGATAGGCGGAGACGAGGCGGACGACTATATCAGAGTTCCTCTAATACGCCGAGAATGGCAACGGTTGTCGCCGGCTCTAGGTCCCCTGGATAACTCTCACGACTCAGGAAACGAACGAACCCTTCTTCCCGCCCGCCCATCAAGTACCTAACCATCCGGATGTCATGGGAAAGCCGCAACACGTAAGATTATTCCAGTGACCCCAGACATTTCAGCTGCAGCCCTAGACACTTCGCCTTGCCTTCTCGCGTCTTTCGCGCTGAACCTTAGTCATTGGTATAAAAAACGGGATAGCACAAAAAAAAAAAAAAAGCCTCTTTTGTTTTGCGAAATCATCCGGCGGGGTGCTCCCCTGCAACATCTTAGATCGGACGACGGGGGCCCTGCCAGCTAAGACAGCTGCAGGCTGCACACTGCACAGCAGCTCGAACCAATCACAGCCAGCAGCAGAGCTGCACAACGTGCAGCTTGTCATTGACGTGATCAACAACCCGGCATCCTTGGGAAATCGCGCGCGCGCGTTGCGTGTGAAGCATGAAGCCCCGAGGTAAATACATGCAGCAACGCACAGCCGAGAAAGGGAACTTAAGTACGGACAACATATAATAACGACCAAGAGGTTAGCGATATTATTCTTACCAGCAACGGACACGAGAGTTCTTCATGGAAGAAACAACGGTAGGGTCGCAGTCCAAGTAGACCAGGGCGAAGAAGCGACAGCGAAGGGCCAAGAGTGGATGTGGGGCACCCATTCATCGGTTTCCGAGATCCCGGCGCCTAGAAACACCCGAGTCCGCTTTGCCAATCAAAGCATCATCACTCCGTCCTTACCAACCACCTTTGCT